ATTTCTGTTGTAGACATGTCGCAAACCTGGCAAATGTTGTTTACACCATTCGTCATTTCGCACGGGCGCCCTGTTCTTTTCATCTGCCTGACAGCCTCGCTTTCCAGAGACTGTTACAATTTCTTAGAACCATTTTTCATATTTCGCGTTTTCTTTTTCCCTATTTGGTCTTTTATTATTGTCGCCTTTTGGCTCAGTGAATTGCATTGTTATTTGTGCTTGGTGCTTGGAGAGTGGCAAATAAAAATAGCTGCAATCTTATAAATCCCCAATGTTTAGACACAGACTATGTGCTTATGCAGCCCTTATATGCACACACACATTATATACTCGTTGTATGTGCCTATGGGTGTGTGCCATTACACATTCTCACGCGCACACATTCGTCGGTACTCGTATGCCTCCCACTTGCGAGTATTTTCGGCTGTATCAAAGCTTTAAATCAACATTTTGCTCTGTGAAGAAGGTTCCCAGTAGTGTGGGTCTGGGCTCTAGGGCGAATTGTGGCTGCGCTTGTTTACACCGCTATCTTTTTCTTTCCATTTCTGGTTCGTGTTCGCTTTCACTTTTATTTTGTGTACAAATTTATTTTTACTTTTTTCTTGTATACTTACAGTTACTTTAGCCAAAAACTTGTTACAAGGACTAAAAGGATTACGTGGTCGTTGCCATTGCCGCCACTTCGAGTGCAGTTTAGTTAATATATACTGGGGTTGTGTGTGTAAACAATGCTGTGTTTGTGTGTGCTTTTCGAGCTTAGATAATATACTCATTGGCTTTAGGGACTTTTCGCAGGCAAAAGACAATTTTCATCGCTCGTGTATAGGTTTATTGGTTGTTTACCAAGAGCTCATGTAATTATTGGTCGTCGGGAATAAAATTCAAATAATTAGCAAGCTAATAGGAGTATCAAATAATTAATTAATCTTAAAGGTATGTGATGCTATTTCTCAATTTCCCAAAACGAGAAAACAAAACGTAAACTTCGGCTGCCCGAAGGCTATAATATCTTACAGAGATATATGTCCTATAGCCTAAAAGTTTGTAAACAAATGTGTACCTTGATTTTGATCTACTTATTTGGCTGGCAGGTATCCGCTATACTACTTTGATCTGAACAAATTATTCGGAGATTGTAGCCTTCCCTTGAGCAATAATTTATACCAAATTTGGAAAAGATATCTTACAACATAAAAAAGCTTTCCATAAAAGCTGTCAAAATATATCTTTTTTTAAAAAGCCTTTAAGTTATTCTTAATTCACTTCAATAACTTTCACTCCTTGGCATCGATTAATATTTCTTAAAGTATATGAAAACACCTACTTATCATATTTATACACTTGCATTGGAAAAGAAAACTCACGAGACAGTACGAAATTTCTATAATCTACGCCAACTCAGACAAAATCGCATAAATTATGGCTGTCTTTCATTGTGCCCAATCTTTTTGGCAGAACCAATGTTGCGAAATGCTCAAAGGCATTCTACATTTACATTATGGAATTATATTTATGTATGTATAGGTATATACATACTATATATATGTTTGCACAAATATGCTTTTCACTTTATTCGAGCATAAATAGACTCTTTGCAAATTATCGGCAATCGTCTGAGCTCCTTGATTCATATGTCACGCTTACACAGAAAGAGATTGTGTGGCAAAAGCTTTTATTTTTGGGAAATTGAGTAGGTAGACGTGCTTTTCTTATTGTGGAACGAATGTCATTGATATTAGGGATCAACTTCAGAACAATTTCTATACAATATCGCGAGGAATATGGAAATTCATATACTATTGTTTCAAGATATCATTTACTTCTCTCTTTAGCTCAAATTAAGTAACTGCAACTTCCATTGTGGGGCAACCAAAGTTTATTAAATTTCACAATCTAAGTTCAGTTCAGTGTACGAGTCTGCTATTTGACAAGTTTAGCCAATTTATTGACTAAATCTGGCAAGTATGTTAAGTATTGGATACATTTAAATTGATACTTTGGGTTTAACTTAACTGCTTTTCGTAGAAGGCACATAAATCGTAGGAATCGCTTTAAGAAATATGTTCCGATTTTTATCTCAAGTCAATTGAAACTATCTTCTGAATTAATCTTCTTCTTCTTGATTGGCGTAGACACCGCTTACGCGATTATAGCCGAGTTAACAACAGCGCGCCAGTCGTTTCTTCTTTTCGCTACGTGGCGCCAAT